TGGCAGCAGGTCCAATCCAGGAGCTGCCAGGAGCCCAGTGATGCTGGCAGCCAGGCCTGGGTGGCCTTCAGAGAGTTCACTACAGAGGCAGGTCAGCATCAAACACCTTTTTTTGGAGCCAGACAGGACAGACACACAGCAGCAGCAGCCACCACGCCAACATTTCAAAGGGACCCAGCCCCTGCAAAGCCATGTCCTGCAAATGGCATGAAAGCCCCAGGGGGGTTAGTCCATCACTAGGCACGATGGGCTGGTCACCACGCCAGGTTCAAGGGCTCCTTCAATTATCCTTTGTCAGACTGGGAAGGATTTTTAAGGAAAGGCACACTCTGTTTGCAAGCTCCTTCTTCTACTTCTCCCCAAGCACCTGCTCCAACACAGTGTAGGAGGCAGGATACAGCACCAGATGGTCCTCTCTTCTGACCCAGGGCTGTGCTTCTCTACCAAGGCCTTCCAGGGCTTATGTGCAGTCGATGCTTCAGCACAGACACACATCCCCATCACCCAAACCTGGGGGTGTGCTCAGCTAAGAAACTATACAGCAAAAAAGCACGAAGCTCCTGAAAAACTAGAATGACCTTTTCAAAAGGCTTAGATTTATATAGGCTGAGGATAAGAGGAAAAACGCAAAAGAAAATGCTGCGAAGGGAAAAAAGAAACAGGGAGAAATTGTTAACTCAGTGCAGTCCAGGTTTGTGGATCATCATCCAGGCAGCATGCCCATCCCACAGAGGAATGTCCTCACAGGATCAGCTGAATCACAATAGGAGCTGATGCCTGTGGTCAAAGAGGGATCAGACACCACCACATCCAGGCATGCACAGAGTGACCCAGGATCTGGCTCCACGGCTGAGCTTGCAAGTCCCACGGCTGGAGGCTCCCACTCCTGGGCATCCCTCCAGTGGGGAAACACCAGCTGTGAATGAGCAGGAACACCCGGGGCACTGGCATGGCACAGCTGCAGCCACTCACTGACACAAAACCAGCCAAACCTCATTCCTGCTGACCGTGGGCCATCACTGCCAGTAGAACAAGGTGGAGCCAGCCAAGGATCCCAGAGAAGGTGCAGTTAGCTAAGGATCCCACATTCATAGGAATGTCACCTTCCAATAAGGTTTTTGGGAACTGGAGTGAGCAGGAGGGTTCACAGGAGCCAGGACTGTGCCATGCTGCCAGTGAGGGGGAGGATGCTCAGGGGAGGTTAAAAGGTCCAGGGTGTCCCGGTGTGGTGAGGACAGTGGAGTTTCATGAGGGGGGATCTCTTCCAATTTAGATTTAGCAGCTGACAAATGGTGGCAGCTTTTCTAAGAAAAGATTAAGCAAAAGCAAACTATATGGCAACAAGGCTTACGTGTTACCTCCTGTTATGCTCTGATGTTTTCACGTCCAATCAGAAAAAACTGTATTCTGGTATCACACCAAACTAAGCAAAAATTGGGAAAGATAAAAGCCAGCTCCACCACACATGAATTCGTGTCTATTACAAGAAACATAATAAGAGGTTCTCAACACCCACTCCTGTGGATTCAACCACAGCGTGGGAGTTGAGAAAATCTAGTTTCTTGCATTTCTACTACTTAGGAGCTTCAATGTACTTTTAGTTTTCTCCTATTTCCAATTTCAGTCTCTCTTCCCTTACCAAGGGAGCATATACAGGTGTTTTCATATCAGCACCAGAATGTGTTTGCCAGCTGTGCAGGAAAATGCACATTTAGCCTCTGCCACCAGCACACACCTCCCCAGCCACCACCAATGGCCCTCAAACCAGAGCCCATTCAGCACAAAAAAAAAAAAAAAAAGGCCCAATAACAACATACAGACATCAGTAACTTTCTCATCATCATTCAATACCATGCAAGTGCTATTTTTTTCCAAGATGAATTCCAGCTTTGGGCACAAAGTAACTCTTGGGAGATGTATCAGCAGTAAACCCTTGGGCCCCCCTACCTATCTAAGGAACCTGGGATTAAGTTCACTGAGGTCACTGGAACAATTTCTTTCACAGCCCATATAGCCAGGAAACTAAACCATGCAGCCAGGTTCCCCCAATGGCATCACCTGGAAACTCAGCTGCAAAGCGAGGGAAAATAAACACAATTTTTCCTGAAACGAAAATGGAAATGCCCAATTCTGGCATTCCCCTGTTAAGCAAAAGCACATCTCCAAATACAGCTAATGGCATTCCTGCAGCAGCAGAAGGCCAATGGAATAGAAAGTGAGGGGGGAAGGATATCACTGGTGCTTGCTGGCTGTCTCACACCACCCAGCCCTTGGACAGACATCCCTGGAGCAGCAGGATAACTGTGCCTGCACTGGGTCCCAGGGAACAACTCTGCCCCAGGAGACCCTGATTCATCCCTGATGTATAACCAAGTCCAGCATTGCCTGAGAGGAAAAGGGATTCAGAAAACAAGGCAGCCCCACCCAGTCACTTCCACCAGTGCTCCTCACACTCCAGTTCCTCTGCCCACCAATTTTCCAATGACCTTAAATTTCCCTGCGTTAGGGAAGCTGGCAGATGAGATGACTGAGGCTGAAGCAGTGGAGCAAACTGAGGAGTGTGGGACCTGAGCTGTGCTCAGCCCATGTGCCAAACGACCACCGTCACAGGGACACGTATCCAGCAGCACGAGGTTGCCTATTTGCAGGATGAGGCTGAGGGCACTTTCCAGGTTTGTGGCTCTAGGATTTCCTTGGAAATCCTACCTGCTAAAACCAACTTTTAACAAAAGGCTCCTATCACAGCACGACCAGGGGTAACGTCTGAGTTCTGAACTCCCCATCTCCAGGCACACAGGAGAAGCTCCATGTCTCCAAGTATCCTCCAGTTCAGCAGCAAAAAGAGCACTTTGGAAAACTCTTTCTTTCCTCCACCATGTTCTACAATTCAGTTGCTCCCTCCCACACAGCCCTGCTGTCACTCCACTTTTGTCCTGGTACATGAATGATAAACCATTAAACTGTGGTTGTAGCAAATGCAATGCAGGGAGAGGAAGTGCATCCCACATACTACTGACTGCTCCCAGACTACTACTCCTCCGTGGCCCACCCAAAGGGGTCTGGACTGACGGCAGCACAGAGCTTTTGGAGGCTGCTGTAGCCCTGTAGCTCTGCAAGGGAGCCCAAGCCTTTTTAGAGATGAGAATGGCCATAAAAGGCTTGGGTTTTATACAGGCTTCTATCTCACTGTAAGGGAGATATGGAGGAAATCTCACCTTCTAATAGAAATGACCAACAAAATTCCAGTACTTCTGCATGAAGAGAAATGGTTAAAACATGGTCCCAGATTAGGCTAGCTGCTCAGAAATCAGTGATGAGTAAAACAAAACCATCTGATTTATTTTTAATCTCATGATCTGGGGAACCTTACTCAACTTTGCCTCTTTTTCAGTATCTCATTTTAAGAACCTATACAGATGCCAAATCACGCGTCCGGATCCTGCAGCTATAACCACACAAGTGTGCCTTTGTGGGGACGTTTCTTTTTTGTATGAGCATTACACAAATGTCATCTGCTAAGAGCTGGTCAGGAGACAACACTCATGCTCACAGGAAACCTGCTACCTGCTTTCACCCGGCTCCCGTTACATGGCACATAACAAACGTTCACCATCTGCGGCCCCATCCCCGTGTCACCCAGCGCCTCTCCAGCAGCGTGGGTGTTCCATGCTGACACCAGCACAAGGAGCATTTAATCACATCCATTCAAGCAGCATCCTCTGCTAATTGACCACAACCATCCCTCCCTACGTTTTCCTACTCTGTTTGCTGGGTGCAGTGAACAGGGTCCAGCGGGCAGGACAGCCGGAATAGAAGGTGCTGCTGGCATCATCTCAGAAGGGCACATACACAAGCAGCTCCTGAGAAGCAGGTGGCACATTGGTTAAGTCCTCACCTGTGACTTACCCTCTGATAAATTCTTCCTGAACCCCAAACTGTGCTTTTCAAAGAGTTCAAGGAACCTGGAATTAGCCTGGAAGCTTTTTTTTGGGTCAGTGTCTTTTTTGTGCCTGGCATGGCTCCAAGTGCTCTGCCAGCTGCAAACAAAAAAGGAATGATACCTTTTCATGCCTTGGACTCCTGCATCCTCTAGGAAGGCTGGAGTCACCCAAAGTGCCACCACCCTTCCTGGATTAGGAAAGACCTCACTGTAAAAATACCTGTACTCCCCACAGGAAAAAAACGTAATGAAAAAGTGAGGGCTCCACACAGTTTCTAAGCAGATCACTGTCCCTCAAAGGAAACATCGCTGAGGCAGCTACAGCTTGAGGAAAGGGATCAGATTGCATTTGCTTCTCACGTTCAGGGTGTGCAGCCATAGAACCACAGCCACATCAGTACAGTGCTGCATTCCCGGCATAATCTGAGATTCAGAGGTGTTTGAGGACCAAGAAATGAGGAAGGGAAGAGGGGATGTCTAACAGAGCAACACACACCTTACGCACACCTACTGTTTCTCTAGTTCAGACCCTGTGAAAGAGCAGTAATTGCCATCAGGTTGAGATGCAACTTCCCAGGGAAGAGTTCTTTAGTTCTGGCCATGGGAATCTGAGCAGGGGACTCGCGCTGGTGAACACTCTCCTGTCACCGGCAGCATCTCCCATCTCCAAACCGCACTTTGAGCTACGCATTCCAGTGACACGACGGGAATGTCAGCAGCGCAGTGGGACACAGCTTCTCATTAAAAACAGGGGCCGTTCCGCACCGATCGTGCCGTCCATTGAATACACAACAAAATAACACCTCGAGTGCTCGGGAACCCGCGTGCGACGAACCCTTCCGACGTATCCCCGGTGCCTACAACGCGCCCGCCTGCCCCCGGCACCGGCATAGAGCCGAGGACCTGCCGGGGAGGGATGGGGCATCTGTGGGCTCCCCGGCGGGACCGGGAGCGACAGCCGGGAGCCGCTGCTCCCACGGGGGGGTGTCCGGGGAAAGCCCTTCGCCCCCCGCCCGCCGCCTCCGACACCGGCGAGCCCCGCGCCGGCCCCGGCACTCACCGGCGGCGGCCTCCAGCAGCGCGGCGGAGCGCAGCAGGCGGTAGTAGCGCTCCATGTCCCCCGCCGAGGTGCCCCCCGGCGGGGGCCCGGCCGGGGCCGGGGCCGGGGCCAGGGCCA